AGTTTAAGACACTCTAATATAATAATATAAATGACTAGTGGTAGATTCCACTATTTACAATAAAAAGAATTTTGTGTAAAACATGTAAAGGTGAAAGAGTATATTTAATGGCAAAAAATCTGTTTTATAGAAAAAAGGTAACATATAATAAATAAAAAAATATACGACGATCCGTCAATTTTGGGTCGGCCCCACAAGTCGCACAAAATTAGACCATTGGATCCTAAGATCCAACGATCAAGTTCCTGCTGATCCACCAATCGTTGTTCCAAAACTATTAGGTGAGTTCAAATTCAAAATCCGAAAATCTTGGCGTTTGTCCATGGACCTAGAACAGACGGATCAACTTTGTTTATATCGGACCCAGTTACGGCCTTATGGGGGCGGGCCTCTGACCCGTGCTCAACGAGTTGGGCCCGACAGGTCATGGGCTGGGTCGACCCGTTACCCGTGTCTGCATGCTCTCCAACGTTGGACTTTCAATTGATTCGCATGTCAAAGAATTGTGGACATGCAAGGGAAAGGGATAAGGTAGCTTCAGTTATCAATTAATTGGTTGAAATTCTGAAATATCCTGCACCGGCCACGTAGCCATCAACTACACGGCTACACCAACTACTACTATTTATTGATTTAATTTTGCACAGCCACGTAGCCGTCACCAATTTATTATACCTTGTTTATTAGACACTAGAGTCACTAGGCTAAATGAAATAAATGTAATTTTAACTTTATCAACTATTAACTAAATAAATGTCATTTTAGATATTTTTTCATTATTTTTCTCATTTAGCCAATAAATACACTACGTCTTTTTATATTCTCTCTTCATTTTTCTCAAAATATTCATCTTTATATTCATTAAATAGGGTTATTATTGACAACAAAAATATTTTTTATTATTGTATCACTTCTTAAAACGGCATTTATTTTGAATAGGAGGGAATAACAAATAGCAGCACACAAGTATGAGTGTATGGCCCCTCATCCAATAGGAAAACTACAACACTACTTATTACATATGCACCAAGTAACTACGCGACAACAAATCAATCATTCCAAATATTTTGAGAGTGAGTTTATAACAAATTACAAAGATCAAACAATATAATTGTTTATTAAATGAATTGAACTGAGCTTGTAACACGAACACTTAACATTTATAAATGTGTAAATCGATGCAAATCGAACAATTACACAAATCGAGCTTTCCACATTTGTTAATTTACTCTTAGTCGATGCAAATTGATTCATTCAGTAAACAACTATAAATTCAAACACAAGATACTCGACTCGACCAACAAATTGAATATCATTGCAACTTTCAAAAACGATTTATATTAGAAAAATAATACTCCCTCTTATTCATTATAAATGTCGTTTTGACATGTCTAAATACATAACAAAATGGATGAATTAAAAAAGTCAAAACGATGAACGTAGTAATAATTAAGCCACCAAACTCTCAACAACTTTGCCCTTTTCAAAAAAATTCACGAGAAATAGGGAGCGTTTTCACTAGTGTGCGACGCGTGTCCCAATATTAGAGTTTCAACAGTATAATATATATATATATATATAATATCCCTATCTTCTTCTATTCCTAAAAACAGAGTTTCACTTAAACTTAATTGAAATTTAATTTTTCAGTAGATATTATACTCGCGTATTAAACAAGCTCGGTACCGGGAAAATCAATTAGCCGGAGAAAATACGATGTTCCGATGGACTCGATAGCTTCGCCGCCGGACCCAAAGAGCAGCGATACGCACGCCATTATCAGTCCCCTTCTCATCTCCATTGTCGGCATAGCAGCCGCCTCCACCGCAATCGTATTCTACCACATGCTCCTCATCAAGTACTGCCTCCGGCGAGGCGGCCGCCAATCCGCTGCCGGAATTCCTAACCCGGCCGCCGCCGGAGTCGACGAGAGGGTCCTGAAATCGATTCCGATCCNNTTCTCCGCCGCGCGGCGCGTGAACGCAGGCGCCGAGGGCGAGTGCGCCGTATGCCTAGGGGATCTGAAGGACGACGACCGGGTCCGGCTGGTCCCCGGGTGTGCCCACGCGTTCCACGTGCCGTGCATCGACCGGTGGCTCGCCGCGCGCGCCAGCTGCCCGCTGTGCCGGTCGCCGGTAGTCGAGCCGGATGGATCAGATCCGTCCGTCAGGGCGCAGATCTCGGATCTGGAGGCGGCGGTGGCGGCGGAGTTGGGGAGGCCGCGGCCGTCTGGTTTGATTCGCCACTGGTCAGCGTCGCTGGCGGGGAGGTCGCGGCAGTCTGGTCTGATTCGCCACGTGTCAGCGTCGCTGGCGGGGGCAGATCCGGCACCGTCGCAGCCGCGTGAGGCAACGAGGCTGAATCGGTCGCGGTCGATGGATTCGTCGCTGGTGCGGATCGGCCGCCGGAGTGCCGATTGTTCGGGTACTCTGTCTAATCTGAGGCATCTGGATCGAGTTTCATCGCGGCTGCGCCGGTCGTTTTCGCGTCTGCGCGTGGGGAAAGCCGGTCGTGGCCCTATTCTTCCTTACTGAGAATCTGATATGAGAATTGATGAGATGAATAACTGAGTAGACTACATTATATACTTCTTCTTCGTTATCTTTATTGTTTAATCCTTACTTTTCCTAAAGTACTTTCGGGTTATCATGGAGAAATTTCACTTCAGATGCCACAACACTCTAATTACTGATTTTCGTTCCAACTTCCGACTGGTGCGTATATTATAGTGAGATGCTACAGTCCCGGAATCATTTCGTCGAGTTTTGTAACCGTTAGATCATCATGCAACCTTCGGGGATAGTTGATCTAATGGTTACAAACCTCGACGGAATTGTTCCATAACGAGACCGTAGGATTTCCTTATATTATAATCAAATTAGATTCGTCGTCTCTTAACCTAGCTGATCTTCCAACTCGTGAAAGCTCGCGAGTCGCTTTTACGTTCACTTAAAAATTAGAAGATTAAACTGCTGAAAGATTTTCTTAGACTTAATTTATTCAAGGTGTTTTTAAAACGATAATTATATTAACGAACACTTAAATTACAATCTAACAAACATTAAGAACACTTGAAGCTAATAACTAACTAGTTGAATCCGTAAGAAAAAAAAAAAATGTTCACAAGACACAAGAACTAAATAAAATCTGTCGAATTGCCACGCAGGAGACTCATATGATGAAAACTGCGATACTCCATTAGTGAAGTTTAAACAAGATTCCCAAAGTTCGCCTCTTTGTTGCCGCCCTCAGTTTGTCTCTTCGTTGTCGCCGGTGCTTATCCTCCTCCTCGGAGATGAGGGGCGAGTCCTGTCTGAACGACATTTGCTTCGGTCCCAATTCCCAGTTTGGTGTGGTGCTGTCGACGAAGGTTGTCGCCCTTGTAGCGATAGGAGTTAGCGCTGTAGCAGTGGTCTCCCCTTGGCCGTCCAGTTCTCTTCTCTGGGGCTGAGAAGGACGGTCCCTCCAGCGGGCAGTGGTTGTCATTTGGGGTTTTTTGGTTGTGGTTGTTGTCAGAGTTGTGGTGGGGCAGGTGACGGTTGTCGGGATCTGTTTTCCAGTGGTGGTCTATTTGAAAGGAGCGTCAAACTTTATAGATTCGGGTCGAGTTAGTCATAGCCTATTGGTCGGTTCAATTTAAGTTGACTCACCAGGTCAATACTGACGGCAGGATCAAGGCCAGGTCGACCGAGTTTTAGCCAGATCCCTTGCTACCCGGTCCAAACCACCCCCACCCACACCGGTCCGGGCCACAAGAGTCAAAACACTGATTTTGGCCAAAAACCGAAATCTTGCAAATTACGGGCTGAAATTGAAAATTCCGCGTCTACAGGGACAAGAACTACAATTCGTGAGGGAAAGTATTAGCAGGAGCGAATTAAAGTCCCAAACTCCCAGCACGTAAAACATCAACACGCTCAAGTTTGAAGTTTGGTGTGAACAAATTCCCTAATAATATTTAACCATTCTGTCGAACTTATTCAATTTAGGGTTTGGAATAACCGATTTTTCGGTTCTCGATCGATTTTTCCGACGGACGATCGACGGCTCAGACCTCTCCGGAGCCATGTTCAAAAATTTCTGGTAATGACTTATTTTCTCATCTCCCCTTATGGTAAAACGAACGAACTTTTATCGCCTATGGATGAAGCCCAGTACTGTTTTATGGTCAATTTTTCTTGATTTGTATTGGGTTGTTGTTATGTTATTAGGATGATATCTGGTTTTAGGGATGATGTTGTTTTGAATTATCATATCAGAAATATCAAGAGAGGTGTTTAGTTCATCGTTGGGTTTTTGATGTATCTGAATATTGAAGAGCTTAGTTTAAAATTTAAATAGTTTCAGATTTCTGGTTGATCAATCAGGCCATTATGTAACTGGGTTTGAGTATGATGTCCAAATTTGACTAACTTTCGTGTTCTATGTGGCTACTTTCTTTGTTGAAATCGTTTTTCGATTTCGATTGGTTTTCCTACATGTTGCTGAATAGTTCAATCTTGCATTTGAGCATTCTTTCTGAATGCCAGATATCCCATGCTTATTTAATCATTGTCAGTAATGTTCTTCCGTTAATCCTTTTATTTTCGGCTCATATGTTATAATTGAACGCAAGAATCTGTATGTCTTTTGGGTTTTTGTTTTCTTCTCTTGAGTTTATTGCAAATTGAACATAAGAAAGTTCCATCCTAATTGATTTTTTTGCTCATTAAGACCCAAATTGGCTTGTTCTTTTGGTTTTGCCTTACAGGGGCTCTCAGGATCAGCTAACACAGCCACGGCCACAAGAAATAGCGACCGACTCATGGTATCCTCCTTCTGTTGGCAGTACTCCCAGCTCTTCACGTCCAGCAACTCCCAGCAGTTTTGGCTCGTCAAGACCGAACGATCGGCCAAGCACACTCTCTAATGTTTCACCAGCAGAGGCAGCAAGCATAATTTCTGTCTTGAAAGATAAAAGGTGATCGAGTTTTCCTCTGTTCATTATTATCTTGGCTACCTTAGTCATATTAATTTATTTGTTTTCTGTTTGGTGAGTATTTGAGAGACTTTGGTCTTTGGCTGTGACGAAAGTTGAAAATGTTTATTGTACATTTCTGTGTCACTATATTTTAAGTTGTTATTTTGTGTTTTTTGTGTAGTTTGCTCTCAAGACCTTGCACTCGGTGTTTTTTTTTCTTTCTTATTACATCACGATTAATATTTTTGCCCTCATATAATTAGAAATCTGGATGTGTAATTTGCATTTATGGATTGATAATCACACTTAACTCTTTTAACGTTGTCAGTGTTGATGAACTAAGAAAGCTGCTGTCTGACAAGGAGGCTTATCAGAATCTGTTACTTTCAGTCGAACCTGTTAAAACCCAGAACAGGGTAAGTTATGAATTTCAAACAAAACTAGAATGTCTGTGTTTTACATTTAATTCTAATGCTTTACATTCCTTGCTTGCCATTATTCCTATATCTGGAAATGGATATTGAAAACTTTCGTTCACCAACTACATGCTATTCAAGAAATAGGTCGAAAACTTTTTTTTTTTAATTTTTTTTTTTATTATTGTCTAAACTTTACGGCTAAGTGTTGGTATTCAAGGCAGACTAACCTTGGTGAAACTCAACAGTATGAAGATAGTTTAGTGATTTGCCTTGTTTAAAGCGAATTAATGCTTCGTGATTAATTCTAAACCAGGTCCGAGATGAACTTAGGAACGAAACTGTGCAGCTTGCAAGTAAGCTCTCGTTATGCTGCGTTTACGTTTAATTTTTGGATGTATAATTTTGCCCATTGGCTAGCGAAACTCATGAACTCTCTTTTTCAGGAGAGAATCTGGAGAAAGAACCACGCATAATGGAGCTGAGGAATCAGGTGAATTTTTGTGTTCTGTGATTTTTTTTAAATATATCCCATGAAGTTTATTTACTCTCTGGATGAAATAGTGACACTTTCATTTTACTGTTTTACGGCCTCAGTGCAGAATAATCCGGACTACAGAGCTAGCTACTGCCCAAGAGAAACTGCATGAACTCGAGAAGAAAAAGGAAGAGACACTTAAGTATTATTCTCCCTCATCTCTACTCAATCGGCTTCAAGGTAATTAAATTTGTTAACAAAACAAAACCTCTCTGTTTTTTCAAACAGGAACATTGATAAATCTTCCATGTCACACGTTATTATTATTATTATTTTTTTTTGGTCCTTTTGCGTGGTTCTTAGATGCAATGAACAAAACTGAAGAGGAATCGGAGGCTCTGCACAGGCAGCTTCTTGATAGAGAGATTGATCTTTCGGATTTCGTGCAGAAATACAAGAAAATGCGTTATGCCTATCACAAACGCGCTTTAACTCATCTTGCTGCAAAGACAACTGCAACCGGCTGAGTCTCGTTGCACTTGTGGCGATGCTCGTCTATTTTGTAAAAACTGCCTTTGTACGCGTTGTACGATTTGTTACTGTCGTGTGATTTTATAGTTTCTTTCTGTGTTCAATGCTATTTTTTTTTTTCTTTCTTTTTTGTATTCAAAAGGTTATTGTAGCAACAATTATTTACAAATTTCTCCAATAGAAAAAATAAAATAAAATAAAAAATGTCAGAGCTATTCTTGAGAGAGAGAGAGAGAGTATTTAGACAGCTTGAAATAATAGTAATCTAATTAAGGAAAAAAAACAAAAGCATCATATTGTAGGGAGATGTTACAGTTCGTTACGGAAATATTCTGTCGGAGTTTGTACTGGTGGATCAACTATCCATGGTGGTTATATGACGATCTAACGGTTAGAAATCCGTCGGGATTTATAACCGTTAGATCAACTATCTCTGACGGTTACATGATGATCTAACGTTAGAAACTCCAACGGAATGGTTTCATAACGGAACCGTATATTGTAATTTTCCTTCACACGACTCCTCTCGCATTAACTTGGAAACAAATACAAAACGAAATATTTGTATTAAGCTAATATAATGACGTGTGAGATTATATTTCCATCAATCACTCAAAACCAGCTGTTAATGTTAAAGCTTCTTGTAAAAGCTTATTGCAAAGCCTTAAGGTCATTTT